CAAACGCCTCATTATTATGCAATGTATAAAATGAATATATAAGTGCCTTTATAGAGATTCAAAACGTTAGAGAGAAGTTTTGAAAACCATGTTTTTTTTACGAAACAAGTGCAAGATCCCCCAGCAATAAACGAACACCGGCCTGCTCTTTCTGCGCACAACAATAGTTTAGACGGAAAGTGCCAACCAAATGTCTTCCCCTCATTCTCAAAAAAAGTAACAACTCACCACGGCCCCATTATTGTTCCAACTACTACGCTTTTCCTCTTTGAACTTCTGGAATTCCTCCCCTACTCGAGAGCAGAACATTTCAAACGACGATTCCAAAACAGGTTTTCGGCACGGTGTTCGAGCTGAAGCTAAGAGCTTCGGCCTCTCCATTTGCGCTCTCTGCCGTTCCTTCATGACCTGAACAAGAAGAGAAGAAAAAACTTCAGCTTCGAACAATTTTGGAGGCAAAGTTATTCGAACATTTTCAGCTAACCTCTACGCGCTGCTTCTTTTCTATCTGGCGCTGTCTACGTAGTTGTTCTTCAAACGAACAGCGCAGATACTGGTTTAGCTGAAACGGCTCTTGCGTGGTGTCCCATCGAGCTTTCACATATGGAATCCAGGACTACAATATGCACAGAATTTTCAGAGAAAACGTACTGTAGGGGAACAGCAAACAACCTTCTTAGGAACGCTGTTCTGGATGGCTATGAGATCTTTCCGAGAATACCTCTTTACATCATTTTCCGAAACAGCAACCCGTTCCTTGTTGGCGGCCACCGAAGCTTGTGGGCTAAATTTCACTCTGCGAGAAATGTTAACATAAAAGGCATTAGTTCTAGAGTTACCTGGCTGACTCATTTGCTACCGCACTTTCACGATCACTGGTATGGCATTCCTTCTCGATAGTCAAAAATGGCTCATCAGACATGTCAAACCTAAACTCCATTCTGTAAATTCTCTGGGTTCAGAACTAGGACTCACTCGGAAGGTTAGAAATGAGCGATCTCAGACAGGTTGTTTTGGTGATTCATCACGAAAGATTTCAGTTCACTTAGAACCATTTTTCTCAGACTGAGTCCATACATAGTGCAACTAGACAAAATTCTTACCTTGACAGAGCATATTTCTTCCACAACTCCTTCGATACTGAGTCTCTAATCGAAATCAGCTTTCCGCGCATGTAAAATTTTCGCTTAGCCTTTTGACGAAGTGGGACGAATCTGAAGCAGAATCAGCTTTGGAAACCATGGAATATCACCAAAAGAACGTACTTATATTTCTTTGGTTGTTCGTTGTGGGTTGAAGAAGAGGAAATCGCTGCCTCGTTGACGCTGGCGTTTTTCGATTTCAAGATCTTAGCGCTCAATTCAGCAACTTCTTTAATGAAACAGTTACTAATGGTATGATCGGGCAGATTCTTGTAGATCTGAAACTAGTCATTTGACGGATTAAAGTCACTGTAAGGTCACGAACAGACAGTAACTCACTCCTAAGCGCTTCAGCGTCGATTGCATATCTTTACTCAAGGGCGGCGCGTTCTTCGATAAGTCCAGGAACGACTGCCTATCATAGGATCCACTGAAATAGTAGCAAAATTGAAACAAATGCCTCTAATCAGAGATATAAGTTCTGTAAAAAGTTTTTAAGGAATCCCTATAAAGATTGTTGGCCATACCTGTTTGATAAAGTATTGCAGGTTGTTCCATTACCGCGTGCGACTGTAGGAAGCTCCAAAATAGGAGGTGATGTAGCCTTGCTCATGCCATTTTGCAAACCGTGCTCTCTAGCAGATCCCTAAAATGCAGGTGCCTGGCGTAGAGCATCAATGATAGGACTAGCAAAACCCAGAGGAGGTCATAATATAGGAGTCGCGACAGAGACAAGAGCTGACCAGTCTAGTCGTAGCAAGATCAGGTCATCCATCAAAGTGCCGCTTCATTATTACTGCCCGCTAGTGGCAGTACTGGCAAACATAACAGGTCAAGTTTGGGGCCGAGCCAAAGTTTTCTCAGGATACTACTGGACCGTTCACCGAATGACGCTTGGGAGATCTTATTTGTTGATTTATTAAGTCATTCTACACCATCAAAGTATTCCTGAAAATCGATTGAACATCATTACCCATACGTCCATTCAAACATTAAATTATGTCATTTG